TGCCCACGTTGGGCAATTTTCCCGAAAAATTAATTTTTTTTGCTTCAAGTTGTTTTCTCCATCCTGAACTCTTCTTCAAGTCCAATACCGATTTTCAACTTCCAATGGGCTTCTAACATAGAACTTCAACTTGACATAAGCCTGCATTCCAAACTTGAATTCTCCTTGACGTGCACTTCAATTAGAATTTTTCAATACTTCAAACAAAGAATTCGGTTTACACCCAAATTTTAACAATCTCCATCTTGACACAAATTCCACTAAGTAAAGAACCGACTTCTTCAACAATAACAAAAAAATTAATTTCCAACAAAACAAAATACTACACCTCTTTCAATGAATCCAAACACTACTCTTGTAGAATTATATCAGATTCTCAAAAATCATAATGATTTTATAATTTACCAAAATGGGTTGTAACACACCCCAAAGCAAAATTAAGCCCAAGTGTTTTTAAAGAAGGCCCTTGCTAGATTATACACATTCTACTACGCTGAAAGCATGCTTAACAAAATCAGCATCCACACACCTTTTTCCACTAGGTCTGTCCCTAGCAGTTGAATACAATAGCACCGCAGGTGATGGTGGTAAAGTGACATTATCCATATCTTCTGAACTCAATTGGGCAATATTCTTCAAATTCGATCATTTACGAGCTCCTAAAGGTATTGTACAAAACTGAATGTCCACCACAGTACTGAACTTGTGCTGATTAACTCTTCTAAATTTTGCATGACCCTACAAGATGTATAATTGAGACCTTTTATGTCACTCCAATACAACCTGAACACCTTTACAAACCTTTAAATTTCCATCTTCATCAAAGAACTCATAACCCTTTAAATTAAGGATAGACAACAAGATGAGATTCATAAATCCGAAACATGTCAAATATGGCCAAGTATTCTAATTGTTTTATCCAAAAGCTTCAATCTGACTATACCAATTCCAGCAACCCAACAAGGTACGTTGTTTTCCATAAACATGACACCTTTGGAAACAGTTTCATATGTAATAAACAAGTCTATTAGGACACATATGAAATACACATATTGAATCAAGAATCCAATCCTCATCTGGTTTAGACTTGATATCGAAATAGCCAAGCGATCTCCATCAATGTTTTTCGTCTGCTTCGCCTGAAGTATCTGATTGCTTCCCATATCGACTTACAACCAACCTTTCTTTATTCTGCAATTTGTAGCAATCCTTCTTCATGTGTCCCTTCTTCCTGCAGTAGTTACAAATTTGATTACTGAACTTAAATTTCGATCTACCCTTCCAAAACCACTTGAGCAACCAGGTCTTCTCTATCTCTGACCTCAGAAATCAGATACTTCATCTTCTCTTTTGAATACAAAGTATCATATACCTCTTCTATGTTGAGAGTATCACGACTATACAAGATCGTGTCTCTAAATGAAGAAAACGAAGCGGGTAACGAACACAATATGATCAAAACCAAATCTTCTTCATCATAATTTACTTCTAAAGTTTCCAAATCAACGACGATCTCTTTAAATACAACCAGGTGATTTTCCAATTATCTTCCTTCTACCATTTGATCAGAGCATAAACGCTGCTTGAGATGCAATTTGCTTGTCAGACTTTTAGTCATGCACAACTGCTCTAACTTCAACCATAAAGTAGCTGTTGAACACTCCTTCAAAACGTCTTGAAGAATGGTACTCGATAAATGAAGATGAATGTGAGAAACTGTCTTCTCATCCTTCCGTAATTTTTCCTCCGTAGTCAAAGTTGCGGGTATCTTGTCAATTTCCAGTAACGCATTATCCAAATCCAGTTATGTGAATACTGCACGCATCTTAACTTACCATAGCGAAAATATAGTGTTCCGATCCAAAAGCGGAATGTCATATTTCATGGAAGCCATTACGAACAAAAAATTCGAACAAATCAAACCACGCACTCTTTGCGAAACTGCTGAACCTAGGCCATGATGGCTCTGATACCACTTGTTATGAACCAACCAAGAACATCTCTTGTTAGAAGAAATATTAATATTCCCAGATTGTTGTTAGTAATGTTGAAAATACAAAATTATGTATTGTTTGAATACCATTTGATGAAATCAATCACTGGAATGAATTGTTGAAGTTATATGGCAAATAATGAAGTATTAGATCAGGTAAAAGAATAATGAAGACAATAAATATGGCGGAGGAATGAAGAGATTTTATTGACTCAAGAATAATGGAGAATAGAGAAAATTACAATGGATCCTATACTTCTAGTAATTTATTTTTCACACTATAAAATTGTATAAAAGAGCCTAATATTTATAGAAAACATGTAGGAGACGTTTAAATCATCTTAGTAGAATTGTTGATAAAGTAGAATGCCAAAAAATCGAGTTCAAAATGAAATAAGAGAAGAAAACGCGAAAAAACGAAGCAGAACTGGTGGCGCAGCGACGCCCCAGCAATCTGCCCGAAAAATTAATTTTTTTTGCTTCAAGTTGTTTTCTTCATCCCGAACTCTTATTCAAGCCCAATACCAATTTTCAACTCCCTATGAGCTTCTAAAATAGAATTTTAATTTGACATAGGACTACAATATGTCCAATACCAATTTTCAACTCCCAATGGGCATCCAAAATAGAACTTCACTTGACATAGGACTTCAATAATATTCTAAATTTGAATTCTTCTTGACGTGCACTTCAATTAGAATTCTTCAATACTTCAAATAAGGAATTCGGGTCACACCCAAATTTTAAAAAATTCCATCAAGATTATACCAAAAGCATACACATCAGCCTTAAAAGATGGAACAGGTTTGGCTGGGTTCGCAAGTTCTGGGGCATGATGTTCAATAGCCCCCAAGTTCAGTACTTGCTCAGTGATGCCTCATCCGGTGGTCAAGACCATAATGTGCAAGCCAAACGCTGTAGTCCATGCCCTCCAAGAGTATATTTGTTGGTTTTAGGTGGTAAGCCTCCGTCACGACGGAACAAAAGACACTGGGCAACATCAAGAGCAACTTTCAACCTTAGTTGAACTGTATTATGAAGTACCTCAAGGGCGTTCTTTCCGCATAAAATTACTAGTAAATATTTTGTTGAAACAATATATTAAAACCGTCCTGCCGTAATGTAGTCATGAATGAACAAAAAGGCAAGAGAATTTTAAAATTTGTTATCTAAAAAAAAAGACACTGCTGTTAATACTCCCTTGGAATTCCTAAAGAGGCTAATCCTGGATGCAAATAAGCTTTAAGAAATTACAGATTCCAAGAAGTCATCAGATATAGTCGAGACCCATTCATGACATGTGATAAGTGGGTTGTTGCACACTTATTTAATACCTAAATAATCTTAAATATTGAATAAATGAAAGAATTTCTATTCACAATTATGTAATTATTGTTTTGTAAGCAAAAATACCCAAGGAAATAGAACGAGGAGAAAAGGAAGAGAAATTGAGAAAATGACCAAAATCGTGCAAAATTATGAATTTAAGGACCAAAATGCACAAGTCAAAAAGTTTAAGAACCTTGGCCTACATTTTATGAAGGGCTTATTTGAAATGATATTCAAAATATGAGGGCTAAATTGTACAAAATAATAGTTGAGGTACCTTGAATGCAAATTTTTAGAAGACTTGTTTGCAAATAAAAAAGAAAAAGGAAAAGAAGTGACAAAGAAGTGGCTCGTTGGTGAATGGCGCCATGTAAAAAATCTAGGGACCTTTTTGCTATTTGTCTGAAACTCTAGAGACCAAAGCTGCAATTTTTTAATAGGACTTTCAAATTTAAACCCAACACCCTCATTCATTCGGTTTGGTGACTGGTTTTTCTTTTTTTCTTTCTTCTCTCTCTTTTTGCCTTTTTCTTTCTTTTCTTCTTTTTTTTATTGGTATTTTGAGGACAAAAGCAAGGGCACAATAAAGAGATCAAAGAAAAGGTAGAGAAGAATTGAAGAAATCAAGATTCAAGCAAATCCAATCAAAAAAGTTTTATCTTTAATTTTGTATTTTCTTTATTATTTTCTATTATTTGTATTGTATTGGATAAATATTCTTATTAGTTATCATTTATATAACATGACCTAAATTGTAGGGGATTTATGGTTGAAACTTAACATAACTTGGATTAATTTCAATATTTGATTTTTAATGTTTAAATGCTTATTTACATGTGTATCTACTAATGTATTTCTTGAATTTTCATTTATGCGATCAATAAATAATTATGTTTAGTAATTTGCACATCGTTCGAGAGAAGATTGTACGTATTAGACCAAATAGTAAAAATCCTAGATTTGTATAGGTGATAGAGATATACCCCTAACACTAGGTGATCCATTAAACTATTTCAACAAATATTTAATGTGGTTGTTTGGTTTGAATCGACATAGAGATATAATAGGTTAAACCAATCAATTATGGTTAATTACACTCGAGAGAGATAATTAGTTAAATTTGGAAAATCGGGTCTAACTTCGTAAATGAGTAATTTATTAATTGACTTGTAGAGAAATTAATTAGGCGATGGTTAAGTGAAGCCATGAATCGCAATCATGTTTTCCTCCAAAATTTTCCAAGTTTTTATGTTTTCTTATTTTGTAAATTTTTAGTTATTTTTCAAACTTAAAATCTTTACTGTGCGTGTTTCTTTTTATTGTTGGAATTAAATTAATTAAAATTGTGTAATTGAAAGTGTACATTCCTTGAGCGATTGACAACTCGACCTCAAAATATTCATTTCATTACTTGAATGAGACTCACACTTGCGGTTTGCACTTTTTTGTGAACAACATGTACCAACATTTTGCGACAAGTAAAAACATATCAATTACCTACCATTTCATTCGGGCATGGCCAAAAGGGTCGTTTCAAAGGAATTGTATTGAACTCCATGGCAGTCAGATAGGATCATTTTCGTTTCATAGGCACCATATAGAGAAAAATTGAAGAAGCAAAGTTCCATGGCTACTTCTACCAATTACTTCTGATATACTTTCAGTGTAACAGGTTGCTCTATTGTGTCTCTGCTGGATCTCGAGATAACTCAGCTGTGAATGCTAGCGAGGCATCCACGAAAAACAATTCTCCAGCCAATTGATCTGGCAAATATACATCCAGTGCAACAGGTTGCTGTACTGTGTCAATTAAACTAGGTGAGGAAGCAATAGGGGAACATGGAGAAGACGTTCTTCCAGATCATATAAGGTGGGTATGGTCTTGACTTTTAGTAGATGCCACTGCAATAGCCACTCCCTTGGACGATACATTCTCAATAATTTCTGTACCAGACTCCATTTGCCCAGACAACGATCTTGAATTTGTAGTCAGCAAATGATCATTAGAAAAGCTCAATGAAGTCGGAGGAGGCTCGGTACTGCTATGGAATCTGAAAAGTGAACGCCCTTTAAACCTTCCTAGTTTAACATCTCTACCATCAGTCTGGTCACAAAATCCACTTCTTACAAGGAAATCTTAAAGTCGAGCCTGATTATAAGCCAATAGAACAAAGGCAATCATTACCAAAGCTCCAACAATACATGCAATACTAATAGCAACTCTGATACTAGATCTCGAGCTTTGATGTCCAGGTCCATCAATACCACCGGGAACGTGATTATTGGATGGCCAACCATCAGGCACATTAATGAAGCTGTTTCCAGGCATAAATGAAGAACTGGGAAAGTCAAAAGTGTCTCAAGTTCTCAGGGATATTTCACGATAAATTGTTGTAGGACACATTAAATTATTCCAGGCTCAATGAAAGTCTTTCGGGAATGTGGCTGTTGAAGCTGTTGTTAGATAAATCAATGTACTCCAGGCCACTGAGTTTGCTCAATTCATTTGGCCTTCAGATACTTCCATAATGTCGATTTTGATTATATTATTTTGCTAGCTTCTTGTAGTAGACGTCCATGGCCCAATTCGTATATTAAGCCCTCGTGCAAATTAAGCAAATTCTTTGCATTTTATTGTACTTTTAAGCAATAGGTTATAATTATTTTCTAATTTAAAAAAATATATATATACACATTATACAATTGAGCACATGGATCTTACGCCTCACTCCCACTCCACACGTAAATATCTTCTACAAAAAGTACCATCTCTCTACATTCGAAAATGAAACATCTCTTTCTCTTTCTGCGCGCGCACACCCACTATTTCTCTCTCAACTATATACATATACAGCCACAAACAAAAATGTGCGGTAAACTTTTTGTGGGTGAAGAATTTTTTTGTGGTTGATCCATGTCGTTGTAAATCGAAGAAGTTTGGAGATGAAGATGGTGGTGGATTTGAGGTGCAGGTGGAGGTGGTGGCTAGTGTTGGTAGATTTATTAGATTCAGAATTGAGATGAAGAAGAAGATTTCATTATTGATCAAAATCATGCAACATGAATGTACAAAGCTGTATAAATACTACACAATGCTGGCGCCAAAAGATAACAGCTGGACAACCAACTAACAAACTAAAATAACCACTTGGACAACTAACTAGCTGATTTAAGTAATGCTTCTAATACTTCCCCTCGGGATGAAGTGTAAATATTCTTTATAGACATCTTGGACAACAAAGGAAGGAGAGCTGATGCAGGAAGAGGCTGGTGAAGACATTAGCAAGCTGATGCTGTGATCAAATTGGCTGCAGTTTAACCATTCCAGCTGGAATTTTGTCTCGTATGAAGTGACAGTCAATTTCGATATGCTTTGTTCGTTAATGAAAAATTGGATTGGTAGCAATCTCAATGGCAGTATGATTATCACAGAAAAGAACTACCGTTGAGGCTGCCACTGTGTGAAAATCCTTCAGTAATTGGTTGATCCAAACAATTTCAATTATGGTAGCAGCAAGTGCCATGTATTCTGCTTTAGCGGATTGGCGTTTAGCTTTCCAAAATATCAAGGAGCCACCAAGAAAAATGCAGAATCCAGTGGTGGATTTCTTCATGTCGAGAAAATAACCCTAATCTGCATCCGAAAAAGTTCAAACTTGATAGGTAAACTGGAATCAGAAAATGTAGAGAAGAATAGGGCTTGACCAGGACAACCTTTCAAGTATCTAAGATGAAACGACCCGGGTCGCACTTAACGGGATGTCCCGACCGTTAGATCGATAATGTACTGTCCCACTGTACCAAGATGGATCTTTTCAGCATGCTTTATCCTCACTCATACGCTCTTCAAGAAAAATTTTCAGGGGCTCACCTATCATAGACTTGCTCCAAACCAAGCACGTTTAACTGTAAAGTTTCTAATTATGGATTTCCGGAAAAGAAGGTGCACCTTGTTGGTATAAGTAGTACCTATCAAATCTTTTAAGCTTTCTTAGTCTGGGCATTACATAAGGAGATCATGTACAACTCTTAGATGTGGTGTCCTAGGTTGAGATAAAAATTGACTCAATTTGTGCATAGCAAATGTAATGTCAGGACATGAAGAGTCAAATAAATCAGCTTTCCAATCAAACGCCTATAATGAGATGCATCTGGTAATAGATCTCCGTCTTGAATGCTCAGAGAAGCTTTAGGATCCATAGGATTATTTGTAGGTTTGCTGTTCAGATAACCAGATTCTTTAAGCATTTGTAATGTATAATGTCTTTGTGAAATGACAATCCCAGAATTTGAACAAGCAATTTCAATGTCCAAGAAATATTTCAAATCACCCAAATCTTTAAGTTTGAACTGAGAATGTAGAAATGACTTTAAAGATTCAATAACTTGAATGTTTGATCCGGTGATAACGATGTCATCAACATACACAAGCAAGATCACAAAATCATCACCCGACCCTTTAGTAAATAGTGAATAATCAGCATTCGATTGAATGAAGCCACATTAAATAAGCATGTGTGAATTTTGAATTCCATTGTCTTGGCGCTTGGTTGAGTTCGTATATGGATTTAAGCAATGTACAGACCAATTTCTCTCCCTGTTTAGCAGTTTTGTGGACCTCATAGCCAAGTGGAAGGTCCATATAAACTTCCTCAAATAACTCACCATTCAAGAAAACATTATTAATATCGAGTTGGATCAAATTCCACTTATGGTAAGTTGCAAGAGCAGCATCTTAACAGTAATAGTCTTCGCAACAGGGAAAAAAGTAACAAAATAGTATAGATCTTCTTGTTGTGTATAGCCTTTAGTTATAAGACGGGCTTTGTGTCTATCAATTGAACCATTTGACTTGTACTTAATCTTGAAAATCCACCTACAAGCAACAGAGTGTTTGCTAGTGGGTAAAGATACCATAGACCAAGTGTGGTTGAGCTCTATAGTGTTCAGTTCTTCTTTCGTAGCCTCACGCCACTGAGAATGTTTGACAGCCTGATGGAAGAATTGTGGTTCAACCTATGATGTTGAGACATATTTTTATAGGATATGAAATGCCCAATGTGATAAGGTATTTGATCAGTAAAATTGGGATTTTGTGACAGCAAATTGCAATGATAGTTTCTAAGATATTTAGGGGGTTTAGTAGTTCTGTGAGATTGTCTTGTGTTAGTTGTAGGATTAGGCTCAAACATTGGTAGTGTATCAGTGTATTGGATATCATCTTGATCAATTCTGTTGTGAACTAATGTAGAATCAACAGATTGTGGTACAAGAGATGAGTGTTCATTTTGAGGTGAAATTTGAGTGTCATCAAAAGAAGTAATGGTGGGAATAATGCTCCATTGAGGGATCAAGCAAAGGTTGATAGCAGTTTGAATGAGGAACATGTAGTACGAAGTCAGGGAATGGATCCAAGAGCTTATCATTCGCTATGACAGTATGAAAAGGGAAAATGTTTTCATGGAATACAACATCTCTTGATAAGAAAATTTGTTTTGTTTCCACGTCATAAAGTTTATATCCTTTTACTCTAGAAGGATATCCCAAGAATACACATACTCGGGCTCGTGGCTGGAATTTGTTCCTATGAGTAGTTAATGTAGATGCAAAGGCTAATCAGCCAAACACTCTTAAAAAGGAGTAGTCAGCAGGTTTGCCATAGAGTACCTCAAAAGGTGTCTTGTGTTTCAATATATGAGATTGAGATCTATTAATTAAGAGTGTAGCCGCCAATACACAATCAGACCAGAACTTAATAGCAACACATGACTAGAAATACAGGGATCTGGCCACATTTAAAAGATGTTGGGTGCTTCCTCTCAACTACAGAGTTTTACTGTAGTCTTTCCACACAACTAAATTGATGTATCATCCCTTTTTCAGTGAATGCCAATTCATTAGTATTATCTGATTTGAACCTTTTGATTTTAGCATTGAATTGAGTGTTGATCATATTGAAAATTTTGGGAATTACAATTGCAACATTAGATTTCTATTTCAATAGAAACAACCAAGTGAATCTTGAACAATCATCCACCAAAGTTAAAAAATATATGTACCCTGAGTGTGAGGTAACTTGATATGGCCCCAAAATGTCGCAGTGTATGATGTCAAATGTATTATCTGAAAGGATGTTATTTGAATCAAATGACAATCTTCTTTGTCCAAGACTGTTGTGCCACATATGTATAGAAACATTATTAACAAAAGCATTAGAAAGTGAATTTAGAACTTTGACATCAAGGATATATAGGTCCTATATTCGATCATCCTTGCCAGTCATCTTCCTGGTTTTGGCATCCTGAATGATGAAGGAATCATGAAAGAAAGTCAATGTGAGTTGATAAGTTTGTAACAACACACTTATTTGGCACTTTTCTAGATTTAATTAGAAATGATATTGAGTATATTTTTATTCATAATTGTGTAATTTTCACGTTTGTAGGCTTAAACTCTGATTAGAAGGAAAACGAGGCGAAAAGGAAGAAAAAAGGACCAAAAAGTGCAAAAATATGAAGTTTGGGACCAAGTTGCACAAGTGCCGAAAGTTGGAGGACATTGAGATGCAATTTATGGATGTCAATATTGAAATGAAAATCAAAATTTGAGGGCCAAATTGTACAGATGGACCATTTTAATTATCTTTAAATAATTCAGGGACTTTAGTTGCAATTTTCTTTTGATATTTTGATTACTTAATGGTTAAGCAATCAAAATATCTCATCCTACATATATTAAATGCCTTGGAGGTTTTTTTGGGGGGAGAATATAGAATAGATTAGTTTTTTTTTCTTTTTGTTTTCTCTCTAACTTTCTCTCCCTTTTTCTCTTGTTCTTTTCTTTTCTTTTCTTTTTCTTTGTTGTTCTTGGCTTGTTTTGGAGAAGAAGGATTGATAGCAAGGAGAGTCAAACGTCAAAGTATTGGAGAAAACATTGGAGGAACTGAAATCTACACTAAAAAAAGGGGTTGTATCTTCACTTTTGAATTCCTTCATTATTTTCCAAGTTTGAAATGTATTGTAATATGAATCTCTTTTGTGATCATCTTTATAAAATGAGCTAAATATTTTGTGTTGAAATTTATGGATTGAACTTAACCTATTTGTTTCATTAATTATCGATATATAATTTGAATGAATGAAAAATGCGATTGTTATCAAAATCATAGTGTATTGATCATCATGTTTAAGATTACTTCATTTATTTCGAGCTCAATAGATGCTGTAATTAGGTATTTATGTGATTATTGAAAAATAGTTGCATTTGATAGACCGAAATGATCGATACCATGGGTTTGCTTGGTGTTCTAGCGCGTCTAGGTGATATAGA